ACAAGGTGACACACACACACACATACAGGTTAAAATTTTATTTGTTAGCTCTCACATGGATGCACTGAGCAGGTTAGATACTGAGCCATGGGGAGCAGAAAAGAACTGTCAAAAAACCTACGTAACAAAGTAATGGAACTTTATAAAGATGGGAATTCCATTTTTGTTTTTTATGTTTGATATTCTACATTGGGATGTTGGTACGCAGTAGAGTCAGAGATATCTTCATTTATACACACTGACAAGAAGAATCAATGATCTGCCACAGCGCTCAGTGGCTACAAGCCAACAGCCACAAAGGCTGTCAGGATTTGCAGTTACCCATTCTCAAAACTCTGTAAATGAATGACGTGGGCGGGGTCCCGCACCACTTCATTTTTTTTAACTTGTGACAGCTAGTGAGGGGAGAAGCTCCCACGATAGCTGTTACAAAGGGGGAGTTCCGGGGGCCGGTCCTACAGTAACATGTTACACCCTGAATATGGGTTTAACATGTTACTAAAGGTGAACTTATCCTTTAAGGTTTTCGTATATAAATATAAGTCTAAGATCAGCTATGATACTGAAACTTGATGAATAATTGAGTATCTAAATATTTCATATCATAAAGCTTGGATATGCCATTTACTCTTGTTTGAAATAATTTAACATAGTATATTACATCAAAGAATAAGATAAAAAAATTATAAAATAAAATTCAAATAAAATATAACTGGCAGCATTCACACCTACTACATTAATGGATAGTATTAAACTAACGCAGTACTGATTTTTTTTACGTATCTAATATACTCTACTGTATGTGTGGATTTTGACCACCATTGACTGTAAACATCAATGTTCTAATCTCTTCTTCTTCTGGGTAATAGATTTTAAAATGTAAACTGTACACCGTGGATATTGGTGTTTCTGCCAAAGGGTGTTTCAAGGCTAAAGATTACAAAGTACTGGCGTGATGAAGCTGATGTCTTTGTCTTCTATATGTATATTTGTGTGTCAAAATAAACTTTAATTTGCAGTATTCATCATGAGTGTATTGAGTGGCAAAGCTGTAAGCTGCACAGTGGGGAAGAAATAAGACCAATAATTGTATTACCTGTAGGATGTTGTATAATTTTCTTATTTTTATCCAGCAGCTGAGATGCTTATTTTTTTATCTTTTGGAGTTGATAAAATAAAAACAGCTGAATGGTAGAAATTAAGATGTGAGCAACATGAAGGGAGGACTGGGGGCTGAAAAAAACAGAGACCTGGGAAGTAGCCTAAATGAAAAGAACAGCTTAACTATGTAGACTTTTGTAAGTGGACAATAAAGAGTGAGAGTGAATTAGTGAAATAGTGAATAATCAAAGGGAGAACAAAATAGTGTTTGTGAATAAACTAATAGAGGTTTACAAAGTAAGGAGATTAGAAGTACTGTGCAAAGGTAAGATGTAGTAAAATGTTGGTGCTATATTAAAATAGCCAGGAGATGGAGTGATAGTGTTTACTAAATATTCCTATTCCAATGTAGATTGCAAGTGTGCCATAAAAATGTGCGTGGTGCTCTGGCTGTTATTTTACAGTGTACAAAAGTGCCAAAAATATGCAGTAGGACAGTGTGATTTGGTGGACTGGGTATGTAAATAAGCTGTTAGTGTTGTATATACAGTATGTGCTTAACTGAATGGGAAGGATGACCTTGGAGGGGAATAGGTGTATACTTGCCGTTGTTATGTGGAGTTATGAAAAGACTAGGAACTAGCCTTGTGATTTGGCCAATATACATATGCCAAAAAGGAGAATTCTAAATACTCAAAATAGTACACACAGAATGGAAACAATGTCCATGCAGTCTGGTGTCACTGTTGGGAACCAAGCCCAGCATGGCAAGGAAAGTGTGATGTCCATCTAGCCATCATACTGCCAAAGGTGCAGCACATATTCCTCAGATATTTTACCTAGCATAGCTTAAAGCCAATTCAAAGCCCCCATTATATATCACTGAAATGCAGACTGGCCACGTATAAAGTAAATAATACACTCTTCATTCTGTGTATCTTTCCATGTCCTGTACTGCTGTAAGGGTAAAAATACACAAGAGAGTCAGACTGCTACTCTCACGCACAAGCTGTGGCTCATGGCCCCAAGAAGTCTGACACTCCCCCTGCACACTGCTCCAATCAATAGCCCTGTTGAAGGAGAAAAAGTACTGATGGTTTTTCACATTTATGGGTCTTGCTTACCAGCAACTTCATCTAGCACTGTAGATCAAAAGGTTCTGGGTGTGAAACCCTCCAAGGACACTGACAGCACTGGGTTTTATTCTCCCAGAGGGGAGTTTACTAAGACTGGATCAACCAGAATTTGGAGCAGCTGTGCAGGGCAACCTACTTCTATCTTTTTTTGTTAAAGCTTTACTGAACATGCTGAATATATAAGTTGCTTGTTTACTAAGCACAGCTGCTCCAGATTCTGTTTACTCTAGTACTAGATTTCCTCTGGGTGCTCCAGTTTTGTTCCACAGTCCAAAAACTAATGTATGTTTGACATTGGTCTGCAAACTGGTTTGCAGGCTTCTTTAAGGGCAAGAATTAATGTGACGGATTCATTGTTTTCTGTTAAAGTGTTACTAAACCCAGGGCCCTGCATTCACTTTATCTGGTCTCCCACAGTACACAGAACATGGAAATGAAATTATTTTAGTAAATATAAACTGCTGAACACCTTTTCTCATCAGCAGTTAGAGCAGTCTTGTGACTTCTATCAGTGTTCAGCAGAGCACTGGTTAAAGCGTATAGGAGGAGTTTTCTTTCTGCTTTAGGCGGATGCAAAACCCCTGACCTCTGGACAGTGCTGATTGGTCCTTTGCTGATCACATGCCCTCTCCCAAGAAAAAAAAAACTAGCCATACACACTAAACTGAGTATGTGCAGAATGGCTGCACACAATATGTCTCATCAGGAGATAAGAGGAAGACACTGAAAGAAGCAGAAGATCAGAGAAGTCAGGATCAAACAGTGTTTTTACACAATACAGATGATTAACCCCTTAGGTTCCACAGTGAATATAACAAGCATGCTGATTTTACTGTTGTGGGTTTAGTTACAGTTTAAGTGATGTAGAATATGAATTAAAAAAAACAATAGTATTTAGCCAGCAAATCCTTATATGCTAGTGCCTTTGCCCTAGTGACTATTTTCTGTGAGAGACAATTTATTAGAGGTCAAATGATTGTTTCTCTCTAGATAAAAGATGACTATATGCTTTGATACATATGTTTTTCCTTACTGTTTTTCTCTCTCTTGCCAGTGGTTCTAAATCCTGAATTAGGTAGATGCTTTCCTGTCACTACATTTAGAGCAGTGGCAGCATGGGGAGTGCTTTTGTGTGCTATAATACCCTTAATTTTTCTTTAAGCATCCCCATCTGCTGGGGCTCTGTTGGCCTTGCCAAAAAAGTGCTAGGAATGCTATACTTTGAAGCACACTGTCTGAATTGCACTGCCAGAAAGTTGCTCTTTTGAGAAGAGTGATCTCTGAACCCAACAGATAAATTCTAGTTTTGGCTGTCAACAGCAGTGTGTGAGAAAGGGAACTTTCCAGGAGTGAATAGGGGTAGTTAGGTTGGTTAAACTACTGAACACCATTGCTGGGGTTATTATTGTGCAGCGCTGGGATTTATTATTGTGCTGGGGTTTACTATTGTGCTGGTGGTTATTATTGAGCTGAGGGTTATTGCTTCCCCTGACACTCATTGGGGTTATTGTTTGCCCTCACTATTTCTGGGGGTTTTCATTGCTTGCCCTGACACTTACTGGTGGTTATTGCGGGGGGTTGTCATTGCTAACCCTGAGGCATGCCAGGGTTTATTATTACAGGCCCTGACACTTGCTGGTTATTGCTAGCACAGTCACTTTCCGGAAATTATTGCTGACCCTGACACAATGGTATCAGTCATTGCTGCCTGATACCATTGCTGAGGGTATTATTGCTGCCACTGATACCAACAATGGGGCTAATTTTACTCCCACAATCTCTTCAGAGTTACCCCCGGCCCCACTATTTCTCAATTATAGCAATTCAAAGGTTGAGAGATGCCACACTGTAAGCCACATGCCATGAAGCAACAATCCTTTTATTGGCTATACCCATTTTTCCCCCATACCTACAACGATGGCCCAGGTTCCTCCTAATTCTTTTCAAGTGTAGGCAACTATAGTTTATTTTTACTCCAATTGCAACAAATATAGAACTGATTTTTTACACTTGATGACCAGCAATGTAAGGGACACTGTTGCATACTTCTGACCACTGCTCTCAGAATGCTTGACTGTGCTTAAAAGAGGATATAATGTGTTCTTATTACATTGTGAATAGTTTCTATATAACATTGCATTTTTCACTTGCTGACTAAGCATTGCTCATTATGTTATGTTTCTTTCTTCATAGCACCTCAAGTCATATACTGTGAATAAATACCCACTTTATTGACCATGCCTACAAGTGTGCTCTTGGCAGCATGCCATGCATGCTACATTTCTCTTCTTCAAGGCAGGCATTTCTTATTAGTTATGTCTGCTTTATTCATAACACGATGTTCAGGGTGGGAGACACCCCAAAAAATTGTCTGCAGCTGCCCTTGATCTGGAGATTCTCTGTTATAATGGATTAGGATAAAGTTAATGTGAGAAACAGTCTTTACTCATCTTCTTCCAATGTTGCTGTTGTTCATCCTTTTTAGTCCATTTGTATTCATTGCTTTCATTAATGAAATTGCCTACCACTTTTTATAATCAAGTTGTAATTTAGTGGATGATTTGTTTTCATGGTAAGTGTAATTTAAGAACTCTTTTTCTAGATTAAGTTGGTCAACTCACTTATTAAATATGCAGTATCAATTGACACACTATGCAATGCTGTGTTAGAGCATCATAGTTAAACGCTGACATTCATCAAGGTACAAAGATTACAAATATGACCTTTTCCATATGCCTCAGTCCTTTTGTATCTCTCTTTTAGATCCTCACTGTATCTGGACCACCTGAAGGAGGAACCCTAGTGACAATCCGTGGAATGAATCTTGGGTTGGCTTTCTCTGAGATTGCTCACAATGTGCTTGTAGCTGGAGTACAGTGCACGCCAGTGCAGGAGGAATACATCATTGCAGAACAGTGAGGCTTCTATTTTTTTATCTTAAATTGCACTGTACAGACAATATGGTTCTGCAAATAAAAAGATTCTGATTAAAAAAGTAATGAAAACCAGAAACACAATGGGGTTGATTTACTAAAACTGGAGGGAGCAAAATCTGTTGCAGCTCTGCATAGAAACCAACAGTGTTGATGTCATCGACAAAGTTATTTTCACCATAGTTTTCATCAGCTCAAAAATAAAATTCAGTTTCAATTCAAATGACTAAAATATGACTAAAACAAAAATGGCATTTTAGTCAAAAGAATATGACTAAAACTAAATCAAACTTTGACCTATATTTTACTTGATACTTGTTTTCATTGTTAACGGAGAACTGTTAAAGTATTTATATTCAGGTAATATGTGCAATGGCATTACACCCAATAGTGTTTACAGTTTTTTGTTTTTTTTTGTGTATTTTAACCACTTGCTCTCCAGAGGACTTACCCCCCTTCCTGACCAGGCCATTTTATGCAATACGGCACTGGATTAATTTAAATGACAATTGCACGGTCATGCAATACTACACCCAAATTAAATGTACCGTATTTTCCGGCGTATAAGGCGACTGGGTGTATAAGATGACCCCCTAATTTTCCAGTTAAAACATAGGTTTTGGGCTATACTCGCCATATAAGACTACCCCCCTTCCGAGGCACCACCATTTGAAAACATCAGATTTTTTTATTGAAATGGTTATGTCTTACCGGTACTTAAAATCCTTCAAAATTCTCATGTTCATCCTCTGATATCATAAGTTCATGAATGACATCTTGTGATACATTGGTGAGACAGTCATCATATGGATCAAATTCCAAATCAGATGGTTACCGCTGGATGTGCAGTAATACGGTAGCTTCGGCTACATACAGTATACAGTATATATACAGCCCGCTGGATGTGCAGTAATGTACATACAGTATACCACGCTGAGCCAAGCTGGCTCAAAACAAATGTCCCTATGACAGATTAATCTGTCAGCCCGCTGGATGTGTGGTATATACAGTATACTGAGTATATACCACTGATGTATATACAGTATACTGAGCCAAGCTGCATGTATGTACAGTAGCTGCAGCTACATACAGTATACACTGGGCCAATCACGGCGAGCGATGTATTCTACTAATGAATACAAAGCCTGCCCGGATTGGCTGAGGTTGTGACATCATCAGCCCACCTCTCTGACTCAGCCAATCTTAGCAGGCTTTTTATTCATTAGTAGAATACATCACTCGCCGTGATTGGCCCAGTGTATACTGTATGTAGCCGCAGCTACCATACATACACGCATCCAGCGAGCTGTTTACAGTAGGGACATACTGGTATGTTTTGAAACCGCTTGGCTCAGCGCAGTATACTGTATATACCGCACATCCAGCAGGCTGACAGATTCACATTTTATACCCCGCGTATAAGACGACCCCCAATTTTTGGGGTATATTTTTAAGTATAAAAAGTAGTCTTTTACGCCAGAAAATACTATATGTCCTTTTTTCACCATGAATAGAGCTTTCTTTCTGTGGTATTTGATTGCCTGTACGTTTTTTATTTTTTGCGCTATAAAAAAAAAAAAGACCGACAATTTTAACAAAAAACAATGGTTTTGACTTTTTGCTAATAAACATGTCCAGTAAATAAAAATCATATTTCATCATAAATTTAGGCCAAAATATATTCTGCTCCATGTCTTTGCTAAAAAAAATCCCAATACGTGTAAATTAATTTGTTTATGTGAAAGTTATGTGATAGTTACAAATGGTGGTATATATACTATTTTTTTTATTAGTAATGGCGTCAATCAGCGACTTATAGCTGGACTTTGGGACTGCGGCATTCTGACATTGGGGGGGAACTGACTTGGTGTCACTGACATCCCCAGTGACACCAATACAGTGATCAGTGCTAATAAAAAGCACTGATACTGTACTAATGGTACTGGGCAGGAAGGAATTAACATCTGGGGTAATCAGAGGGTTAACTGTGTGTTTCACATTATGTGCTGTATGTGTGCTATGCAGAGCCATACAAAGCGGTGTGCAGGAATTGACAGGGGAGAGAACTGTAATGTTTACATACAGTTCTCTCCCCTCCGTTGGTAATACTCGGCGACCACCAGGTGCCAGGGAGTAATCACCGCCTGGGACCCAGTGATTGACTTCCGAGGCCAGCCCCCTACCTGGAACTGAAAAACCACGTGTATATATACGTGATTTTGCGCACCCATGCCACCCTGTATCAGTATTCCTGCTATAGGGTGGACGGGAAGTGGTTAAAGTTGCACTTCTTTGTCAAAAAGAAATATTTTTTTTATGTTTATGATACTGGGGATTTTAGTCAACTCAAATATGACTAAAACTAAAACAATTCAGATGACTAAAATACAACTAAAACTAAAATGGCATTTTATTCAGAAGACTTAAACTAAATCGAAATTTGACGTCAAAATTAACACTCGAAGCCAATCAGCTTCCAGTTTTTTTTATCAAAGCTTAATTGAACAAGCTGAAGTTAGAAGCTGACTGGCTACAATGCTCAGCTGCAGCTGATTTTGTACTCTCCAGTTTTAGTAAATCAACCCCATTATCGATTTGAACAAGATTAAAAAAAATATAAATTTGTCACAGATTGTGAAGAGCACAATATGCAATAATATTTAATGCATGGGCTTTTCCTGGCCAACTTTAGGTAAAGTTCTATACAGTTGTATTGATTTGCATTTAGTGTGGTAACTATACTGTTGAAAGTTATTAAGAGTTACTGACTCTAGGTGGTTTTCAGCCCTTAACCACATGCCGTCCAGCCACTGTAGAAATATGTTGGCAGGGCGGCAAGGCTGTGCAAAACCACGTTTTAAAACGTGTGTGTTCAAAACAGGTAGGGGGCACGCGTGAGGCGCGCCACCGCCCTACCTGTTATGCCGATCACGGCCGCGGATGTCAGTCACCGGGTCACAGCTGTTCGTTACCGGCTGTGTCCCGGCGATTAGCGGCAATCACTGACAGAGAGCAGGGCTGCAGTAGCACTGCTCTCTGTCAGTTCCCTGACAGCTCCTGACACGCTGATTGGGAGAGAAGAGTGTATCTCTCCCGATCAGTTTTCCCTGTGCAGTACACACCCCCACCCCCTAGTTAAACACTCCCCTCACACAGTTAACCCTTTCACTGCATAATAAAGTTAACCCCTTCCTCCCCAGTGCCATTAGTACAGTGTCAGTGTTTTTTTTTTTTGCACTGATCACGGTATTGGTGTCACTGGGGATGTCAGTGACCCCAAGACAGTTCCCCCCCAATGTCAGAATGTCCGCTGCAGTCCCGCCATAAGTCGCTGATCGCCGTCATAAGTCGCTGATTGCCGCCATAAGTCGCTGATCGCCGCCATTATTAGTATAAAAAAAAATTAAAATCCCAGTATCTTTCCCGCCATTTGTAAACGCTATAACTTTCACGTAAACCAATTAATTTACACGTATTGGAGTTTTTTTTCAACAAAGACATGCATTTTGGCAGAAATGTATGACTAAATTTGATTTTAAATTTTTTTTTACTGGACATGTTTTATAGCAAAAAGTCCAAAATATAGTTTTTTTTCCTCAAACTTTTCAGCATTTTTTTTTATAGCGCAAAAAATAAAAACCGCACAGGTGATCAAATACAACCGAAAGAAAGCTCAATTTGTGGGAAAAAAAGGATGTAAATTTCATTTATGTACCATATTGCATGACTGCGCAATTGTCTGTTAAACTAGCGCAGCACTGTATAGCAAAAAAATGACGTAAATTGCAGTATCTATACCATAGTTTGTAGACGTTATAACTTTCACACAAAGCAATCAATATACACTTATTGGGATTTTTTTTACCAAAAACATGTAGCAGAATACATTTTGGCCTAAATTTATAACTAACTTTGAGTTTACTATATATTTTTTATAGCTGAAAGTAAAAAATATTGTTTTTCTTCAAAATTTTTGGTCTTTTTTTTTGTTTATAGCGTGAAAAATAAAAAGCGCACAGGTGATCAAATACCACCGAAAGAGAGCTCTATTTGTGTGAAAAAAAGGACTTAAATTTAGTTTGGGTGCAGCATTGCATGACCGCGCAATTATCAGTTGAATTAGTGCAGCGCCAAGTAGCAAAAGAGGCCTGGTCATTAAGGGGGGTAAATCCTCAGGAGGACAAGTGGTTAAGGGAAGATGTAGACTTTTTCCAGTGGCAGGGATGAATTTTAAGAGAATGTAAAAAGGGGTTTAGAACACTTGTGTGCAGGCTGCTATTAACTTTGTAGATACTGTCTGATCCCTGAATGCCAAAACGGGGTAGCCAAGCTTTTTTAAGAAGTATGAGTTAGTCTTTCTGATCAAAATTAGTTTTTAGGTCCGAATCTCATTTTTTCTTCTATGACTCGGGGCTTTCGCATCACAGCCCCCCTTACATCACAACTCCCTTTCCTATCACAGCCCCCCATCATTAAAGCCCTGCTTACATCACAGTCCTTCTTGCAATCATAGCTCCCCCCCTCTCACATCCCAGCCCCCCCCATATCACAGCTCCCCCCTCTCACATCATAGCCCCCACATATCACAGCCCCACCTTATATCACAGCCCCCCATATCACATCTCCCCCTTACATCACAGCCCCCCATATCACAGCCCCCTCCATATCACAGCTCCCTCTTACATCACAGCCCCCCATATCACAGCTCCCTCTTACATCACAGCCCCCCATATCACAGCTTTCCCCTCACATCACAGCCCCCCCATATCACATTTCCCCCTTACATCACAGCCCCCCATATCACAGCTCCTCCCTCACATCACAGCCCCCCTCCATAGCACAGCTCTCTCTTACATCACAGCTCCCTCTTACATCAGAGCCCCCCATATCAGAGCTCCCCTCTCTCACATCCCAGCCCCCCCCCCTATCACAGCTCATCCAACTGACAGCTTCCTCTCTAACATCACAGTCCTCCCCCTGCT